ATTATTTTTAGTAGTAGTAGTATTTTTATGTTTTTATTATTAGTATTATTATTAATAATAATAATAATAATTAATATTATTACTATTTTTATATATATGTTTTTGTATATATTTATATATTAGATTTTATTATTGGAACTCTCTGTTCCATATTTTATTTCTAATCCTCACATTTGATTTTCTCTGGAAAACTAGTCGTTCCTGAGAGCTTGATTATATCGTCCTTTCAAGAGAGTCTTCAGATGGTCAACGCTGCACTGAATCAAACTTCACAAGGGTGAACAAAAGTCTATCATCATTTTTATAATTTATAAACATTTTATCTCCTAATAAAGACAGTAGAGATAGTATTTCCCTCTTTTTCTCTGAGTTGCAGTTTCGATCCTCAGCCTTCACACATGTACACGCTCTCCAGACGGCTGGCTTCAGAAACACAGCACATCTCCAAATCAGCAGAGATCTTTCACATGACTTTAGGGCTTTTAAAGGAGAAGGCGAGCAGGAGACATAAAAGATCACTGTCTGTGTCAGGTGAGGCTCTTATACATACATTATTGCCTCAGATTATTGCAGTGAATTTAAAGGGATAGTTCACCCAAAATAAAAATCTGCGGTTAATTTACTCCCCCTCAGGCCATCCAAGATGTAGGTGACTTTTTTCTTCAGTAGAACAGTAAAGAAGATTTTTAGCTGAAACTTGGTCCTTGGTGATGCATAAAATTGCAAGTCAGCAGCTTCATGTATTTGAGAATATAAAAAGAGCATATCAAGGAACACAAAATTAATACTCATGGCTCCTGACGATATAGTGAGGTCTTGTGAAGCGAAACAATCATCTGTGCAAGAAACTGAACATCATTTCTGTCAGGACCACTATCGTCAGCATGATAGATACTTAGCATAAAGTTTGGTTTGGCGGTATGGTTCTGTTCTGGGCAAAAAACCTCCCTGCCCATCCATGCAGCCTGTCATTAATGAGCAAGGAGAGCAGCAATAATAACCCCCCTAGGGTTAACAGAACAGAACAATGCAGATATCATTAATGTACTCAATGATATTTAAGTGTAACACTTTATTCAAGATAAAGGAGTCTGATTAGCAAGGAATATCAGAAAGCTAAGTCCTGACTGTGGCGAAAGGTGGAGCTGGGGATGGAGGAGGGGAATTTGCTCCGAAGCAAGCTAAAAAGCTGCTGAATAATACTGAATACAGCTTATATAGGAATGCCGCGATAGGTGTCGTATTCCTATAGGTAGATGTGATCAGCTGAGAATCAGCTGATGCAAGCTTGACTCACGTGACCTGCCAGAACTAACGCTAAAGCTTAATTTATAATATTGTTACCTGTAATCCAGAGCCTCAGGCAAACGAGGAAATCTGATTCTTGTCTGCGAACTGATTCTTTTGGACAGTTCGTTTCTATGAACAGGTTCAATTCACTAGTTCGTTTACGTAATCACGCAATGACCTCACTTATACATAATTATATTATTGAAGCACCCAATAATGATGTGAAATGTGGATGTTTTACATGTCTAAAGCTGAATAAACTAGTCTTCATCAGCTCATCTTTATATATAAGCCATAAGAAACCATATAAACGTTAATTTTGCCCCTTTCATTCAAGCTCTCGGTTCACTCATGCTCATATCAGCGGCTCATCGGTCTTCAGTTCGAGTCGAACTGTTTCCTCGGTTCAGTCAGTGACAGGAACTGGAGCGCTGAATCAGTTAATTCGTCACAGGATCAGATGGTATTTTGGCTCATTTCGAGTCGGAGTGACTGTCAGGCGTCTGAAACTTGATTGAGTAACGTGTAGATCTGTGCTGCTCGAACCGTGAACTGATTCAGACGCTTCAGTCCGATTCACTAAAAAGAACCGGTTCAAAAGAATGATTCATTCACAAACTGAACCGTTTGCCTGAGGCTCTGGGTTACAGCTAATAATGTTGTAAATAATGTTCAGTTTCTTGCACAGAGTGATCATTTCGCTTCATAAGACCTCAATATGTTGTCAATAGTCACAGGTATTCATTTTGTGTTTCCTGATATGCTATTTTGACTCTCAAAGTGCCAAAAGCTGCTCATTTGCATTTTATGAATCACCAAGGAGCACGGTTTCAGCTAAAAACTTCTTTAATGTTCTTCTGAAGAAAATAGTCACCTACAGTAAATTAACAGCAAATTTTCATTTTTGCATGAACTATCCGTTTAATAAAAGCTCCTAAGCACCGATGACACTTGATCTAATGCATTGACATTTTTTAAGTGTCTAAACACTTTATGGGGCCGCTGCGGGGTATTAGCGTGTTATTTTGTGTGACATGTGCTAGAGATTCAGCTCTGTAAGTGTGGAATAATGCAGTGGCATCATCTCGGAAGAGCTT